CCCCAGGACACCAAAGCTACCTGGGATCAAACCCTGAAGGAGAGAGGCCGTCTCGTGTGTGTCTCCCAACCTGCTGTCAGGTGCCTGTGACCATGAAGACTTCATGGGGAAAGTCCTCTGAGCCTGGTCTTAAAATGGGGCTTCTCTGTTCAGAGGTCGGAGGTTGTGGGGTGGAAATTTTAGACGAAAGGAAAAAACAATGAGCCATTGCTTCTAGAGTTGTTTATGTTTTTTAAGAGGACTAAAAATCTCAGAGGCTTTCCTAAATGTAAAGACTCAGGCAGGTAGCAGATTTCTGTCGCTGTTTTCAAGAGGCCTTTTAGCCTTTTTCACAGAGCAGCTAAGCCAGATATCTGTGCTACTCAAACTATGGTACCAGCCGAGAGAAGGGCCCAGTTTGAGTCTCCTGGGGGTTGTGCGGCTTTGCGCGAAGATGATCCTGTTCCTTGGACACGAAGGAGTGCCTTGCACCTGGCCGGACCCGGTGACCCACCATGGTTGTCCCAGTGGAAGTTCTCTCTACAATTGGAAAAATAACCAACGTGCCCCCTCAAAACATTCAAAGCACATTTCCTGCCAATGGTAGATTTGTAAGATCGTCTTGTCTTTCCGTTCTTTCTCCTTGTCTCCGTCATGGCTCCGGCCCCATCATGCCCTGGCCGGTCTGCGTTAAGCCGGGCCCACTCCCGTCCGCCGCCCGTCCCCTCTCAGGGCGTGGGAGGGGAGAGCAGAGAACAGGCAGGGCAGCGTCTGGAATAACCAGTAACAGATGCAGGAATGAATCATCGTCCTCAGGGCTAGCCCGCATCCAAGCAGACCAGCCGGCAAGGACGGCTGTCCACCGGCAGACTGCCCTGCCCTGTCACCGCGAGGCAGCCTTCTCCATGCTGTCGTGTTTGCCACAGCGCCTGGAATTTCACCATTAGTCTCAGCAACCGGCTGGCAAAGTGTCAGCAGGGTGTCTCCTGGGGGGACCAGGCTCCCAAACTGTAAGGGAAGACAGACTCATTCCGCAGACACCTGTACTGAGAGTCTACGTGATATTCAGCTGTGTGGCAGGCCCTTCGGGACGGGCAGCAGAAAGAGAAGCAAGGAGCCCTGTCCTGGTCCTCAGCTAAGGAACCATCCAGAAACCCAGGGGCCTTGTCTGTGGGCACATACGAGAAACGTGGCACCCGCGGAGCCAGGTGGACGTGAAGCGGGAGAGGCTGCACTGAGCGTCTCACGGGTGTCACTTCTCTCTCTTTGACACATCACCGTAGAATGTGGGCGTGGTCATCCCCATCTTAAAGATGGAGAAATTGGGGCTCAGACAGAAGCTTGTGTGAGCCCCTTGGCCCACCTCGGGCGGGCAGGTGCCTGGTGACAACGCCCCACTTCAAGTGCGCCCCACCCTCTGCAGCTGTTGAATCTGTCAGCCCCCAGGTCTCCAGAGGTGCCCCAGGGCAACCTTCCACCATGGTGGATGGCCTTGCTGTTTGTGGCTCGGTAGGTTTTTAAAAAATGGGGCGGAGCCAGAGAGAGGGATTCTAGGGTGGCAGCTGTTAGCCCAGGTGCCAGATAGGTAATGTAGGGTTGGTCATCATCTTGGGTTTTCGGTGATTATACTGCAAAAATCAGAGCTGTGTCCCACCAATGAGTGACTTGGAAGCTTTAATAAATTATAGCCATAAACTTCCTTTATTATTAATAATCCAGTGATTAACCTCAGACACATAAGTTAATGTTAGAGACTTAACAAAAGGCAAAGATACCTTGGTGGTTAGAATCCAATTCCATCTCAGACTGTGACAGGTGGTCGTGGATAATCTCAGGTGAGTTTTTTTCCTTTGATGCCTCAGCTTCCTTATCTGCCAGAAGGGGATAATAATGCAGATTCTGTGACATTCGTAATTCATTCAACAAGCAGTCATTGAGCCCTTACTCCGGACCACACATTCTCGTTCCCAGCAATGAACAAGACATCAGGTTCTCCTGCTGTGGTACGTTCTGGTGGGGACTTGAGACCACCCCTGAGAAAAACGGCACTTGCAGAGGAAGAACTCACAGCTGAAGACACCAGGCACAGTGTAGTCCTCGCCTAAAGCACCTGTTGCGGCCCCTCCGTAATTCCTCAGAAACGCATTTCAGGAACCAGCACCTCCTTCTGGAAGAGCTGACCTGGCATGGAATACCAATCGCCCATCACCAAGGTATCTAGTGAAAATAACCCCATGTTCTCTCGGCCTCACGCCTTTCCTCCTTCCCGGAGGGCTCAATGGGAAGCAGCAAATGCCTCCATGGAATGTTGGCGGATACAGGAATGGGTTTCGGACCCCCTACAAGGTATTAAAGCATTTCAGAGGGTCAGGGATCGCGTGCTAGTCTCTCCATTTTGTGAATGGAGCCCACTGGCTAAATCAAATCCAAAGAGAAGGACACAGTAGACTAACTCCATCCGAATTCTTGCTTAGGAAGGAACTAGAAGGCCAGAGTGGGAGGTAACAGCATTTTTTTTTTTTTTTTGAGGTCCAAAAGAATAGCTATTTGGGCAGCACTGATTCAGGCGGAAACCCAAAATAGTGGTCCAGTCGGGAGACCAAGGCCAGGGGGATTTCTGAGAAAGGGAAGGGAAACGGTTACATCAATAGAGGAAAGGCATTTCTATTGATGCAGATAAGCTAAAAAGAATGGCGATAATTCCAAAGCATGGTTTTCATTTTCAGTCTGGTAATCGCGATATCTTCTTTCTTGTTTCCTTTGCAAACAGTTGTTAGGGGTAAATGCTGCAAAGTTACTCGGTCCAGTTTTACCATTCAAAGGTTCGAGGACTAGAATGTGCTGCACAGTCCCTCTGGGCGGCAGCTCCGACTATATTTTCAAGTGGCTCTGTTCACACTCATTTTTACAATTCTAACTAGAGTCGTCCTGTTCTTCTACCTTGTTATAGATTTGGAATTTGTATATTTTTATTTCTTCCCTGGAGTGCACAAATATGTATATTCATTTTCCCCCCAATTTCAGCCAAGTTATCTGTCAGAGCCATGTAATTCCCTGAGTTTCTTAAAAATCTGGAAGTAATTTTCTTTTAGTTACCCCTTATCTTCCAGGTCATGGACTTTACATACTTCAGCTGATGTCCTTGAATTATGTCATATCACATTTAATATTACGAGTTCTCTGGCAATAAATTATATTTGATCTGAAAAACTTAATTGGGTTGTGTTTTTTGAAAAGCAACACTTGTTTCTCTTGCAACTGCTTTAAAAACCACATGGGACCAGTTTCCAATAGCACAGGACCTTTCATTTGTGCATATCAAAGCAAGTTCAAAGATATTAATTACATTTCAAGAACACATGTTTAAATATCACTCACTACTAAACACAGACTGGGAGGCAGGAATCCGTGGGACTCTAGGATCGTGTACCGGACCTGTGGGGCGACTTAAACAGAGAAAAATAACACCCCAAAGCCTTTCTCACTCCGTGGCTTCACACATAGTTCTTCGCATACTGTGCAATCCAGACTTTTTTTAATCTGGTGGCTTTTCCCACTCCTTCAATGTATCATGCTGATAACCCTGTTGATAGCAATGTCCCTTATTATGGAGCTTGTTGCATTCATGGCGTTCCACAAATATTTTCTTAGACTCTCTGGGCCAGAAGATAAGACCATTCCACATTTAAAACAGAACTTCGCAAGTTATTTCTACAAATGTGTTCAGAACGATCCAAGTGTTTTTGTTTGAAGAGAGGATACTTAATTCTCCTCCGAGACCTGTTACATTCTTGTTCAGATCTGCCAGATGGTAAAGCGGATAAAGGGTGGGTATAGTTTTAATTTTTGTGATTTGGGGCACGCTTCAAATGACCAATCTGGCCCCCAACTGTTACAGGAATGTCCCTTAGCTCTGCCTATGAAAACCTGGCGCCTCTCTTCACTTTGTTTTGCAAACATCTAGCTGCTGAGAGTTCTCCTGATTTCTGAGATTCCAAAATAAGTCTTGTCACTTCATTTGTGTCACTTCAAGGAAAGGCCACGCGGCGTCTTGGGGACAACCTCTTCACCTGCGTTCGCAAAGCGCCGTGCAGGTGCGCGACCCAGTGCTTCTGCACCGCCTTCTCCACGGTCGGCATTTGGAGCTGCTGGGTATTTCACTTTTCTCCTGTCTCTTTAGGAGCGAGAACTAATTTCTTTTCATGCCCCTGACTCGAGCTCAGGCACCCCAGGTCACCCCCTCGGCCCCGTGCCCACACTTCCTCCGCCAGCTCGCGGCGCCAGGCCGCTGGCCCGGTGTCGGGACGGCTCAGAGAAAGGAAGCAGATGGCTCAACGAGGGAAGGGGCAGGAGGGGCCTGGGCGGCGGGTGGCTCGATCCGGGGAGGCCCGGCTTTCGCAGGCACATCAGCGCGAGAAAGAGTTTCCTTTGTCAAACCAGTGACCACGTGGCGCCATGGCGGTCACCACCAGCAATCCGGTCAGACCGCCGGGCGCGGACTTGGGGACGCGCCAGCCACCTCCTGAGTTGGCCAAGCGCAGCCTCGAGAAGTGAAGGCACCGAGGGAACCCAAGAGGGCGGATCCCGACGACGGCCGGGCGGCGTGGGGGGGGGGTGTAGGTGGCGAGAGAGGCAGTGGGCGGGGCGCCCGGCGGTGCGGGAGGCGGTGGGTGGGGCAGATGGAGGCGTGGGGTGCGGGGAGCGGGAGGTGGGGTTCCCAGGGGTGGGCGGGCACGGGGGGCGGGATTCCCGGGGGTGGGGGCGCTGGAGGCGGGGTTCTCGGGCGTAGGGGTGCGGGAGGCTGGGGTACGGGTCGCGGAGGGAGAGGTCCCGGGGATGGGGCGCAGAGAGGACGGGATCCTAGGGCACCGAGGGCGCGGAGGACAGACTCACAGGGGAGGAGGACGCGGGGGGGCGGGGCTCCCGGGACGCTTCTCGGGGTGGGGTCGGGGCGGAGCGAGGGAGGGGCGGCGGCGGGGCGGTGCTTGGGGCTGCGGGGGCGGGGGGCGCGGGGAGGGGCCGGCGGGGAGCGGCGGGCCAGCCGGGCATGGCGTCCATGGCGGCGGCGATCGCAGCCTCGCGCTCGGTCGTCATGAGCGGGAACCGGCCTCTGGACGACCGGGAGCGTAAACGCTTCACCTACTTCTCGTCGCTGAGCCCCATGGCCAGGAAGATCATGCAGGACAAGGAGAAGATCCGCGAGAAGTACGGGCCCGAGTGGGCGCGGCTGCCGCCCGCGCAGCAGGACGAGATCATCGACCGGTGCCTGGTGGGGCCGGGCGCCCCGGCACCACGCGACCCCGGGGACCCCGAGGAGCTCGCGCGCTTTCCTGGCCTGCGCGGGCCCACGGGCCAGAAGGTGGTGCGCTTCGGGGACGAGGTAGGCGCGGGCCGGGCCGGGACCCTCGCCCCTCCCCATGCCCGGAGGCTCCCGGGCCGGGCTGGCACCTGTCTGCGTGGAGCCGCCCCTCCGGTCGTGGTAGTGTAGCGGGGGCTGAAGAGGGGAGGGCGCAGGAATGGAAGGGGGTGTCCCGGAGCCGAAGGTCGGGGTGGGGGGTTCCCGGGAGTTGGCGAGAGTCACCGAGAGGAGGAGTCCCGCTCCGCCGCGCCGCGCCAAATCCACAGACCGCCCAGAGCCGAAGGCAGCTGCTCTTAAGCGAGGCAGGCCAAAGTGGAAAGAGCAGGAATTTTAAGCCAAGTGGGTTCTAACCCACTCTGCCACTTAGCGTGTGGCCGTGGGTGACTTAACCCCTTAGAGGTTCGCTCAGTCCCCGCGGTGCAGACCCGGGCTCATAATATCCACCCTATGCCTGCGCTCAGGAAATTATATGTATTAATTGTGAGCTGTGTGGGGACTGTGAAATTGCCAAGCAAGATAACAAGAAGGAAGAGGTGTCTTCCAAGATAAGGAGGCGACACCCAGCGCCGAAGACGTTTCCTGAGTGAGCATGATGTACAAGCTTTGTTTTGAGGGGCGTGGGGTGGCTCGTTTTCCCACCGAAAGACATAAGAGGTAAGTTTCAGTGAGCTCCAGCAAGACGTGGTCATATAACTTGCTCTTTCCCTTGGAAATATATTTAACTAAAACCTGCTTGGTGTCATTAGATTTTGCTCGGTTCTTACTTGGCTTTTCAAACGCGACTTTTGCCAGGAGGGGCAAAGTCAGAAGGAGCTAGAAGTACACAAATGAGATCCTCCCTCTCTTAATTGAGGCTGTGAGGTTGCAGGGAGGAGGGACTGAGCTTGGAGTTTTTCCAAGGAAGTTTGGACTGTGGAAGGAATTCTAGGGAAGAATGAGGCTTAAATCTGATTTCTGGTCATAAACCCACACTGACGGGAGGGAAGTGTGAAGGACAGAAATAGGCTTCCAGTAGTGATTTATTCTGACAGAATTAAAAGAAGTCTCCATTAGACTTTACACTCTGAAGGCTTTGCCAGGAGGAAAAGGGTGTAGTAACCTCGCGCGATGACCGTATAGGTTTAAAATGTATTCCTAGAGACGAAACACTTTCAGTGTGAAAATACGCATCTCCCTGAAGATACAGGGTGTCCTGGCCCGTGTGACTCGCTTGGGTGTTGTCTCACCGAGCGAATGGCCGCTGGTTCAGTTCCGGCTTGTGGGTTTGGTCCCCGCGTGGGGCACGAACGAGAGGCAACCGCTTGACGTTTCTCTTTCTCTCCCTCCCTTTCCCTCTCTCTAAAAATAAATAAATAAAACCTTTAAAGAAGAAAGATGTTTGCCGGGCTGGTGCTCAGATTTGGGTGCCGGGAATGCAGGCAGCCCCTGTTTGGAAAAGTCATGGAGAAATAAAGAGGAGAGGAAATAAACCTCTAAGGACTGCACTTACAAATGCTGGTGAGCGGCCGGCAGCTTGCCTTGGTTTGGTATCTGGCTAAGAACCCTCACAGGCCTGCTCGGCATCAAAAAGCCCCCTGCCACATATGGGCCCACTGACACTGATAAGGAAGATGTGGCCAAGTTCATTTAGTACTCCTTTTTTGTTTTGTTTTGTTTTTTAATGGATTTGAGAGAGAGAGAGAGAGAGAGAGGAAGGGGTAGAGAAAGAAAGAGAGAAACATTGGTTTATCATTCCACTTACTCATGCACTCATTGGTTGCTTCTTGTAGGTGCCATGCCTGGGGATCGAACCCACTACCTTGGTGTATCAGGATGATGCTCTCACCCACTGAGCTCCCCGGCCAGGGTTCATTTAGTGCTCTTCATTCCTTCACCAGGTGCCAGACTGAGCTGTTTGTGAATTTGTGTATCCAGTGCGATTTAAAAGCAAACCGAACTGTTTTCTGTGGGTCCTGCAAACCTTTCCAGACCAAATGAGCCCTGTGTTTCAGAATTGGTCTCAGCGTTGCCCGACGGGCTGCGAGCACGCTTCCAGGGCCTCTGCCCAGCCTCACGCAGATGCAGAGAGGCAGAGACACTGAATTTGGGGAGACGTGCATGGAACGCTGTCGGGGCTGTATTGCCTGTACTGGCTGTGGGGATTCTTGGCACTAGGGCGTTTAAAATGCATCCCTTGGACTTGGCGAAAAGTGGGTGCCAAAGTGGTGTTGATGGTCTCATGCCCGAGAGGAGGACCATCCCCAGAGGGGAACTGATCCCCGGGCCGAAAAGGTGATGGATACGGACAAGGTCGGGGGTGATCCCTGGGTGGCCCCAAGTTTGTCCAAGAGGACCCTGTATCAGATTGACTAGGGCACTCTGCCCTTCTTCCCACTTGATCTGCCTTCTGATGTGGTCCCAGGGCCCCCCCCAGCCAACCACAGAGTGGGGAGTGCTCCCCAGGGCCCTCCGGTCCCCTGCCGGCGGGACCGCCCTGACACCCTCAGACGGACCTCGGATGGGTGCTCCAGGTGAGCCATGGCTCTTGCTCTCGCCAGTGCCTGACCTTAGATGACAAGCAGGGATGGGCCTTGTGAGTGTCAGATGGAAGACCGCGCGGCGTGCTGGGTTCCCAGGGCCTTCCCAAGGCTGTAGGAGCGCGAGCCCGGGCTTTGTGGCCACTCGGGCTCGAATTCCCCACCTACCACCAGCATTTTGATGGCGGTAAATCACTAACCTCGCTGAGCTTCAGTTTTCTCACCTCTACAGTGGGAATAACATTGAGTAGAAGAGATAATGTATGTGAAGGGCCTGAGGGCTTGAAAAATGGTTGTGGCTGCGGATGGTGAGAATATTAATATTACTAGCTCATCTCTCCATTTCCCCTTGTGAAAAACACCGACTGTCGTGGAATAAATAAATTCCTGCTGTTGCTCAGCCTGGAGCTGGCTCTGCGAAAAGCAGCTCTGCCCTGGCGGCTGGGGGGATGTGCCTCGGGGCATGTCGTTGGAGCCTGGGCTTGTCTGGTGGCCTGCCTCCGGATTCGCAGCCAGAGGGTGCGCGTTTCTTTGAACGTTCCCCTCCCCCATCACCAGTAACAGGACTGTTTCACCCGGCAGCATTTGAAGTGAGGCTGTGCAAATACAGCCTCCCAATGTGACCATGCCCCCGTCATCGTCAGGTATTGCAGGACCAACAGTGTAAATTGATCGCATGTTGCTGGTCATAGCCCTTGGGGGCGGAGCGTGTGGTCAGGGCTCGGTTCACATGTAGCGGTTGCCCTGTGGTGGTACCACCCTGCGCCTGACAGGTGCGTCTGAGGGCCGGTGTTTGCCTCGCCGTTGCAGAGGGAGAAGACCAGGGCCCAGACCGCCGTTGCTGGACTGCTGCTGGCTGGGTGCAGAGGGAGGCCGGCCGCCATGGAGCTCTGAAGCCATGGGGGGACCTGTCGGTCTTTCAGTTCTTACATCCTTGGGAATCAACTGAGCGAATGTTTCTCAAAGCAGATTAGAGTAGAAATTAGAGGCATTCTGGCTTAGGGGCGCTTAGCCTTCCCGTAATCTTCACTAGCTCCCTTAAAAATCCCCCACAGGAACGTAGGATCTCACTACAGCTTCCGGACAAGGCCACCAGCTCTTCCTGCCCCCATTGTCTCTGCTGTGCAGGGCACCTGGCACTGCCGCCCTCGGGGGGCCTGTCTCAGCAAAAGAGGAGTCGCAGCTGGAGCCGCACCCGCGGAGCATGGCCCTCCGAGGGGTGGCTGTCCCCCTGAGGAGGGAGCGGCTCCGGGGTTTCTCAGCTCGCGGGCCTGCCTGGGCGCAGACGCAGACCTTGGTCAGGTGTCTGGTAGCACAGGAAGGCGTGTGTGCAAATAGATGCTTTCAGCCGCCTGTCCTGGCCTTGGCTTCCCCGGTCTGGGATCTTTCTCCAGCGGGAAAGTTTCGGACATGGCTCACTTAGAGAGTTTACATTTTAAAAGGGTCGAGAGAATATCCCAGTCTCTTCTGCTGCTTTGTGTGATCAGGTAGGGAGGAAAAAAAAAAAAAACAACCCTGAATTTCTAGGAATGTGTCTCTCTCTGCTCCCTGCCACCCTCCCCCACTCGCCTCCCCTCCCAACTCCTTGCCGCAGGATCTGTTGAGAGTTAGTTACCGGGTTCTGAGCTCTGGCCACGTTCTCAGTCCCCCACGGGCCATAAGCCGGCGACCCTGGAAATTCGGGCAGTTGGCGTGTATGCTTCTCGTGGACCGACTTGCCTCCTCTGAGCTTTCTGTCGTGCAGGTGGGTCTGGATGGGGGGTGGGGCGGGGACTCTGATCTGATTTTGCGTGAAACGCGGCATCGAGGCTCCAGAGCTCCGCCCCCTCCTCTTCGCCGGCGGAGCCTGAGCAGCCGCTGTCGGAAGTGTTCCCTGGGACCCCCTCCGCAGGAACGTGGGGGCTCCCTGGCTGCTTTCTTACCCCCTTGGGCTTCATGTCCTTTTCAGGGGCCGAGTCCCGTCCCCCCTGCCTCCCCTGTACCGCCTGCAGCCTCTCTTCCATCCGCAGGACTCTGAAGGCCCCTGCTGCCCGGGCCAGGCGTGGGCGGTCGGTGCGGAGTACCCCGGCCCAGCTAGCCCTCCCGCTGCCCACGTGGTGCCCTCCGGCCACTTGCGAGGGCCTGCCTTGCCCTCTCTCCCTAGGGCCCAGGCTGGCCAGCCTAGACGTGAGCTTTTGGAAATGCACTCATTAAGTTAATAGGAAATGCCTAAAATGACGTTCCTGGATCTTCCTGTGAAAAATCTCAGACAACACAGAAGCAGCATCCTTCCAGAACCTTCCTCCATCATTACATCTTCGTACCATCTGAGATTGGCAGGCCTGTGGCTTCCCGATACAGGACCTGTAACCTGTGAGGCCTCCTCTCTCCTTTGCCCTCGGCAGCTTGGCCTCTCTTTTTTCAGCCTCTGGTGGAGACGCAGAAGGGAAATTCGAGTTACTTCTCAGTATTCTGGACTTGGGTTTTTTTTTTTAGGAATGTGGACTGTATAATTGTGGTTGCACC